AATTGAAACTGAGACTCTTTGGTCAAGGGTCGATGATGCTCTAACTGCTGAGCCAAACCGGCCAGGGCCCCACAGTCAATTTTAAAACATTTACATCACCTCAAAAAGAAACCAAATAGGTGGAACACAGAGGATTTTTAGGGTAGTGAAACTATTTCATATGATAGAGTAATGATGGATACATGTCATACATTTATCAAGACCTATAACTTAGAACATAAGAGTGAACTCTAATGTAAACTATGGACTTTGGGTGGTAATGATGTGTCAATGTAGGTTCATTAATTGTGACAAGTGTACCACTCTGGTGTGCATGTTGATAATAGGGGGAGGCTCTGCATGTGTGTGGTAAGGGGGTATGTGGGAAGTCTTACTCCCTGCTCAGTTTTGCTATGACCTTAAAGCTGATCTAAAAATAAAGTCAAGCTCTGGCCGGTTTGGCTCAACGGTTAGAACACCGGCCTGCGGTCCAGAGAGACTAGGGTTCATTTCCTGCTAAGGGCACGTACTTTGGTTGCAGTTTGTCCCCGGCCCTGGTTGGGTTGTGCAGGTGGCAGCTACTCGATGTGTCCCTTTCACATCGATGTTTCTCTCTCTCTCTCTTCCCCCCACTCCATCTGAACAAAAAATGGAAAAAAATGTCCTCGGGTGAGGATAAAATAAATGAATAAAAATAAAAATAAAGTCAAATTTTTTAAAAAGAAGGAAACCCCATACCCTTTAGTTATCACCCCCAGCCCCACATCCTACCAAACCTAGTTATCTTGTACTTCTTCTGATGGTACCAGTACTTAGCAAGGTCTAGGTGTATTATTAATAATAGTTACCTTTTATTTATTTTTTGTACGTTTTTAAAAATGTTTTTATTGATTTTTTTTAGAGAAAAAGGAAGGGAGAGAGAGCTAAACATCGATGTGAGAGAGAAACATCAATTGACTGCCTTCTACATGCCTCCCACGGGGGATTGAGTCTGCAACCCAGGCATGTGCCCTGACCTGGAATCACACCGGCTGGGCAGTTATCATTTATTAAGAGCTTCATATGTGCAAACAATTTAATCATCTAACAATCTTTAAAAAAAGATTTTTTTTAATGCTCATCTGAGGATATGTTTTTATTGATTTTAGAGAGAGAGAAACATTAATCGGTTGCCTTCCGTACGCACTCCGGGCGGGATCCATCCCGAAATCTGGGTAAGTGCCCTGACTGGGAATCAACCTCACGACCTTTTGTGGTATGGGTCGGCACTCCAACCAACTGAGCCACCTAGCCAGGGCTCATCTAACTTAATCTTCATGACAACTCTATGAGGTTGACATTATTGTCATTTCAAAACTGAGGATGTTGAAGCTTAAGACAGGTTAAATGACTTATAGCATAGCCAGTAAATGGTAAAGCTGCCATTCTAATCCCAGTCTTTCCTTTCAAAACTCATAACATATATTGTTAATAAACTAAATTTTTTTTTATCCTCACCTGAGGATATTTTTCCATTTTTTGTTCAGATAGAGTAGGAGGGAAAGAGAGGAAGAGAGAGAGAGAAACATTGACATGAAAGAGACACATGGAGTGGCTGCCACCCGCATGACCAACCAGAGCCGGGGACAAACTGCAACCAAGGTACGTGCCCTTAGCAGTAACCGAACCCGGGTCTCTCTGGACCGCAGGCCGATGCTCTAACCGCTGAGCCAAACCGGCCAGGGCCAAACTAAATTTGTTTTTAATAGTCTGGTGTGTCTTTCTCCACATCCTTCTTCAAGCTCACATAAGTGTACATATATATAAGGAGCTTTGGTGGGAGGGTCATTACTTTTATAAAAATAGAATTACACCATAAATATCTCCCTGGAACTTGCTTTTCTCACTGTGGACATCTGTATCTATAGATAGATCTAGTTGTTTCTTTTTGTTTGTTTGTTAATCCTCACCCAAGGATATTTTTCCACTGATTTTTTAGATAGAGTGGAAGGGAGGAAGAGAGGGAGAGAGAGAAAAAGAGAAACGTCGATGTGCGAGCCACATTGACTGGTTGCCTTCCGTATGACCCCGACTAGGACTGGGGAACAAACCTGCAACCCAGGTGCATGCCCATGACTGGGACTCGAACCCATGACCCTTTGGTGTGCAGGCTGATACTCCCAATGGCTGAGCTAAACCAGCCAGTTTTTTCTTTTTTATAGCTGTGTGCAGTGTGTACCATAATGTAATGGGCTCCCTATTGGTGGAAGTTTTTTTTTGCTATAATAAATAGTACTGCAGTGAATATCCTTGTACATTTATATTTATGGAATACATCTGTGGGATATGAATCAGGATTCTGTGTATTGAAATTTTTTATTGATACTGCCAATTGTTTATTGTAAAGGTTGTACCACTTCAATAGCAATGTGCACAATAACTTAAATCCTGATCTAAATATTATCCCTCTCCAAAAGAAGCTTTGTGGAATGGCTGGTAAAGGGTGAAGTTAGCCTAGGACATCTGGTGCAAAAAAACATGGAAATCCTCAAAGACTAATGGGGCCCTGTCAAAAGGATACAGAGAACCAGCTGGAAGAGTTTCTACTGGCCAAATTTGGGACAATTTGAACATCAAATGCATAAATGTAACTATACTGCATTGGAGTTTTAAAAAAATCAACGAGCCTTGGCTGGTTTGGCTCAGCGGTTAGAGCTTCGACCTGTGGACCAGAGAGTCCCGGGTTCGGTTCCTGCTAAGGGCACATACCTTGATTGTAGTTTGTCCCCGGACCCAGTTGGGGTTGTGTGGGTGGCGACCAGTCGATGTCTCTCTCGCATCGATGCTTCTCTCTCTCTCTCTCCCTCCCACTCTATCTGAAGATAAATGAAAAAAAAAAAAATGTCCTCGGGTGAGTATTAAAAAATAAAAAAAGCCCGGCTGGTGTGGCTCAGTGGTTGAGCATGGACCCATGCACCAAGAGGTTGCCAGTTTGATTCCCGGTCAGGGCACATGCCCAGGTTGTGGGCCACATCCCCAGTGGGGGACATGCAGGAGCCGGCCATTCGATGTTCTCTCTCATCGATGTTCCCATCTATCCCTCTTCCTTCCTCTCTCTAAAATCAATAAAGAAAAAAATTTAAATAAATAAATAATAATCAACGAGTCTGTGGTACTAAACAAAAGGTGGTGAAGAGAGAGAGCAAAATTTTTAAAGAAGAATACTAGCTAATAAATATAAAAGGAATGACAATATTAAATAACGTTTACTGTTTTGCAATCCCCAACATAATATGTAAAATAAAATTCAGGTATAGATCCTCATGGAAGCTAAAACATTAGGTGAGAGATTACTGAACTGTTCACATGGTACGAAATATTATTTCCTTAGCAGTCACAAAGGGAAAAAAATATATAACTTTACACTGGAGAAATCCTGCAGTTACTGTGTAACCAAGTAATCAAACTTGGTATCACTAATAGGGGGACATCCTGACATCATGTGCCATTTTATTGGCTGCAGTAAGAAGTACCCAATTCACTTATGTTGTATTCTTTTAAAAAATGTTTACTCTAAACCTAATCAGCCCTCATAATTATTCAGAGGATTGCTCTCCGTAGTTAGAATTGTGGATGATTCTACTGTATGATCTTAGGTAGGCTATATTAGTAACTTCTCTGAGTCTCAGAACCCTCATTTATAAAACGGTGGTATTGAATCAGACAATGCATGAAAATAACCTAAATTTACTTTGTTTGATTTGTATAGTGTGTTTGTAACTTAAATATAATTTGGTGTATAGTGACAGTTTAGCATATTGATTCATCTCTGCTGTCAGAATCCATTCATGGCCACCAAGTATATAGCTGAATGAAAACTAATCCCCCCCCCCCCAAATAATATCTTTATCTAATTATTCTGTGTAATTTGATGGCATTTAAAAGGAATTCCCTGTACTTGCTTAGATCCTTAAGCTAATGAGCCCCTATTATTCCAGAAAGCCTTCTAATCCCAAATGTTCAAGGAAGATTTTAGATAGGAGAGCATGGGTTAGAGCATTTTTTTACTCATTACAAATTTAGGTTGTCTTATATGAAATTACCAATTTTATAGATTAAAATGGTCCAATATCAGCAATTTGATGTGGCTCAAACTAATGCATGCTTTAATGGTATAGGTTTAGTCCATCATCGTTATTTGCCAAGCAGTCTTTTTTCTCCCCTATGTTTTAGAGAAAGATTTACTCAGAGGAGGAGGGAGGTGAGTTTTGGATTGATCCAAGTTTGAAGGGAATTGTGGTGTGGATTGGGATTCTGGTTATCTTAGGGTGCCTCATCATTTCATGCACTCCACTCCCACCCTCTTGTGTAATAGTTATTCTTTTCATTCACTTCTTACCTCTTGTCTCTTTCTCTCTCTTTCTCTCATCTACCCCCCCCCCCTCTCTCTCTCTCTCTCTCTCTCTCCACGTAGTGGGAAGTGAGGCAAAAGGAAATAACATTTTCCTAGCTCTTCTTTTTCCTCACTTTAAACTTTGGATTGGTCTTTTGAATTGGCAGTTGCAGAATCCTCAGAACTTGAGAGTTCTCTGGTTCTTTCCCCCAAAAAATGTACTATTTTTTAACCCTTGTTACTCTTTGAATACAGAAGGTATGACCAGTTAAGGATTCAAGTAGATTTTCTTTTCTAGAACACGAACAATGAAGTAACAACTCCTAAGGGCTGGGAAGGAAAGTTTCAGGCTGTGAAGGGAGTACCGAAACGCTCACATCATAGCAAGAATCCTTCCTGGGATATGGCTCTTACAACAAGGGCCATAATTGTATCCCCATAAGAAAGTGACTTTTTCAAAGAACGTGTTCTAGGCATATGTGTATTGTTTCAGTATTTTTTTTTTCAAACAAGAAAAAGTAAATTCATTGGAAGACCTCCTCTCTTAAGGAAATGTGGTCAAACCTGTACTAAATAGCTTTATTAAAATCCTGAGTTGTTTTGGCAAGCCAAATTTTCACCAGTGTGAAAATTCCTGTTCGTGTCCTAGACAGCCGCTCAGGAAGCAATCCTGCATGCGTCTGGAGACGGCACACCTTCCCCGTCTAAGGACTACTGCATGCTCTACAACCCTCACTGGACAGCTCTTCCGCACACCCTAGAAAATGCAGTAAGTACATCTCCGTCACTATTTATTTGTAAACAAAAATATGGAAAGGTGAAAATGAGTGATTGTTATGTTTTAGTGTATGAACCAGTTATAATATATGATTAATAAATAATAATTATTTTATTGCTTTAGCTTAAGTATTTTTCTCTCTGTGGGAAAAGCAAGGGATTTTAAAATACCTCAAAACCTGGTCATTATAAAATATTTTTAATGTAAAAGAACATTGTATTAAATCAGTAGATACTTGGTCACTAAATGCGTTCAGGGTCAAGTATGATATTTATCATGTTAAAGACATTTCTTCTTTTCAGACTTCCATTAGTTTGAAGAATCTAACTTCCACACCACTGTGCAACATTTCTGATATTCCTCCTGAGGGAATAAAGAACAAAGCCGTTGTGGTACAATGGGGAACCTGCCATTTTCTTGAAAAAGCCAGAATTGCACAAACAGGAGGTGCTGAAGCATTGCTGGTTGCCAATAACAGTGTCCTAGTAAGTTATAAGACTACCATAACTTCTTCTGAGCTCATTGTATCAAATTTCACAAAGTGAACTATCTTCTTTATGTGTGGTTTAGGGGCTGAGTTTTGAGTAATTTCATGGTAGGGTTCTTTTAAAATAAATGTTCTGATTATGACAGGCACTTAATTGGAAATTTTTGTAGTTTCTTTTCTATTCCTAAAGTAGATAAGACTGTTAGGAACAAGTGTGTGTGTGTATGAAAGAAAGAGAGATGTATATGATATACCTGTATATATCAGTTTGAGAACTTGCTATAATATTAAGAACACATAAAACTTTGGTATAACTTTAAAAAGATGTAATTTTATATTTAATGGAATAATTTGGATTTTATTCTGTAAATGTATTAGTTCATACATTTTCATCGTATGTTTTTTTTTCTAGTTTCCTCCATCAGGGAATAAATCTGAATTTCATGATGTGAAAATACTGATTGCATTTATAAACCACAAAGATTTTAAAGATATGAAGCAGGTAAATTAGTAATTACATATTAGACAAAGTTCATATATAGCACAACTCTGTGCTTTTAACCACTGGTATTTAACTTAAATTATTATACATGCTGCACTTGCTAACAAGGAGCTGTGAAGGCTGACCGGGTCTTTATTTATTATTTATTTTTAATCATCACCTGAGGTTTTTTTGTTTGTTTGTTTTCCTATTTATCTTCACACAGAGTAGGGGGGAGAAAAAGGGAGAGAGAGAAACTTCAGTGTGAGAGAGACACATCGACTGGTTGCCTCCTGCATGACCCTGACCAGGGCTGGGGATGAACTGCAACCAAGGTACATGCCCTTGGCCAGAATCGAACCTGTGACTCATTGGTCCATGGGCCAACGCTCTAACCATTGAGCTAAACTGGCCAAGGCAGTTCTAGTATTCTTGACTGCCTGATACAGTATCCATTCCAGAGTGAAATTGGAGTATTGCTGCCATGTGCTATAGTGGAAAGAAAACGAATTCTGGTGTTTTAACACTTACTTTTTGCCTTTCAGACTCTTGGAGATGACATTACTGTGAAAATGTATTCTCCATCATGGCCTAACTTTGACTATACAATGGTAGTTATTTTTGCAATTTCTGTGTTCACTGTGGCATTAGGAGGATACTGGAGTGGACTAATTGAATTGTAAGTTTAATTAAACTTCAGTGGTTTTTGTGATAAATGGGAAGAAATTATTGTTTGAAATAATTTTAATCATGTAACAACATTTAAAATTCTACCTGAGCGCGGAATATGTGTGGTTAAGATCAGGTTACAGTTTGTCCTCATGCGGGTCATTTAACTTTCCACTGAGAAGGGAGTCACAGCTTCCTCTACCTCCTCTCCTGGCAGGGAAACACTGAAATTCCATCAAAGACTCTTAAATTCTGTCAAAGATTCTTTTATTAAAAAAATGTTTGTTGTTGTTGTTGTTAATACTCACCTGAGGATATTTTTCCATTGATTTTAGAGAGTGTAGAAAGGAGAGTGGAGGGGAGAAGAGAGAGAGAGATTGATGTGCAAGAGACACATCAATTGATTGCCTCCCGCAGGGCCCCAACTGACTAGGGTCAGGAATTGAATCTGCAACCCAGGTACATGTGCCCTTGAGTAGGATCACCTGCGGGTAATGCTCTAACTGCTGAGCCAAACTGGCCAGAGCTCAAAGACGCTTTTGAATTAAGATGTTCAGTTATCTCTCCCAAGAAAGATGAAGATACTTAGTATCCTAACAGGCCTATTTATTTGGATTGGAAGAAAATAAGCAGAAGGTGGGGAGTTTTTCAGCTCCTTCTGGTTTAGTCATTACAGTGTGACCTCATCATTCTGTTCAAATGCTTTAGGAATTCTGAATATATTAAACAAATCCATATTTTAATTTACATGTAGAAATTTTAAATGTACATAAAATTTGGATTTTCCTATTTAGTAACAACCTAAACCCAATCTTCTTACGGTTATGTACCTTTGGCTCTAGATTAAAGCAGGCAATATAGTATAGAAAGATTAGTTCATATTTATAACTCTGAATAAAAAAAGGGCTCAGATCACATTATTTCATCCATAATGGACAATATATTCACTTTGTGAATTCATCTCTAGATTTCATTAAAAAGGACTTGTTTGTGCCCTGGCCAGTTTGGCTCAGTGGTAGAGCAGCGGCCTGCAGACCGAAGAGTCTCAGGTTTGAGTCCCGTCAAGGGCAAGTATCTCGGTTGCAGTTTGTCCCTGGGCCCATGTTTCCCTTTCTTTCCCACCCACTCTGCCTGAAGATAGAAAAATGTCCTCAGGTGAGGATTTAAAAAAAAAAGAAGGGCTTATTTGCAACTAAATGAAGCTAATAAGCTTATTTGTAATTTAAAATACTAAAATTGGATTGATTTACACGAAGAGCGGAAATCTTAGGGTTTAACAAGTATAGGTTCCTGGAGTATTGAACTTTACATATTTCCCATATTTGGAAAACATGTTTTAACATATATCAGTCACATGTTTTCATATAAGCATTGTTTTTTCTTCATTAATGTTAATCTTTATAAAACATGGTATGTAAGAAGATCTCCAATTGTTTTCTAGAGTATTTGTTGAAACTTTATAATTTCCCAAAAGCTACTGATTCATTAAAAATCTTTTCCCACTTAATTTAGAATCACCTTGTACTTCCATTACTATGTAAATTGTTTCTTTAGAGTGGTGCTTTTCAAACTAATGTGCATACAAACTGTCTTGAGATCTTATTCAAATATAAGTTCAGATTTAGGAGCCTTGGTTTGGGGACCGAGGTCCTGCATTTCTAACAAGCTTCCAAGTGATTTTGCTGGCCCGTGGACTACACTTTGAGTTGACAAGGCAGACTTCATACATGTACATGTTAGGACAGCCTCCTCCTCAAGAAAATCGGAGATGGGAGAGGAATACATATAAGCTTTTTTTTATTCACAAATCATCATGATAGGCAGAAACAAAGAATTTGTTGCCTTTAGTAGCCATGCTGAGAGAGGAGATATCCTTTACCTGTGAGATTGTAGATTTTAATATTGAGGTGGCTGAGTCTAAGAGTAAGATAAAGATAAAGACAAGTAAGTGTATGTGTGTTTGGGTTGGGGTGGATTTGACAATATAAAGAAAGAGAATATGAATCAGTGATAAAAAGGAAAATTTTCAATGAAAAGTAGATTATTAAGAACATAAGGATTATCATTTAGGACTGAAAGATAAGAGGAAAGAGAATAAGTCTTAGGGAAGGAAAATTTTGCCAGAACAGGCTCTCATAACCCACAGTTACTCTGCCAAATGCAAGGTGCACCTTATGCAAAAGGGAAAGATTCCTTGGTTCCATATGAAGACTCTTCAGTAGAGATTTGAAGTCTTACTATAGTCAGATCACTGGTCCTCCAGCTTCATAAACTCAAGATGGCATGGAAGAAAGCTTAGCTTCCTCTCATTGCGGGTGGCTCTTGAAGAATTGAAATATACCATTTTTTTAAAAAGATATATTGGTCTGGCCAGTGTGGCTCAGTGGTTGAGCGTCGACCCATGCACCAAGAGGTCACCAGTTCAATTCCCAGTCAGGGCACATGCCCTGGTTGTGGGCTCGATTCCAAGTGCAGGGAGGCATCCAGTCGATGTTCTTTCTCATCAGTGTTTCTATCTCTCTCACCTTCTTCCTTCCTCTCTCTAAAAAACCAATAAAGAAGAAAAAAATTAAAAATAAAAAGATAAATCGTAGTGTTTTAAGGTGATATAAATCTAATATGTCTTCCCTTCAAGAAATTGCCTCGTGCTTTCTATTACACTGAATTACAAATACATAAATCTTTCGTTATCATGGCTTGCATGTGTACTCTAATAAAAATATCTTTAAATGCATCTGTTTGTAATGATAGATACCATAGGTTGGCACATTTTTCCACTTGGGCATCACTTTTATTGAAACTTATTTTAATAACCCTGTAGCTCTGCAGTTTCAGGAAGGTGCTGGCATGTCTTTCCCCAAACTCTCTCTCTTCTCTCATCCCAGGTAGCCTTCCTAAAGTCACAGGTGCTTACTGGGGTGGCCATCTCAGTCAACAAGGTTCTAATAAGAAAGTGGCATGTTGGTAAATAAGCAGTTTGGCAAATGTGTAATTTGACAGAAAAAATCTTTTTTTTACCTAAAGTTTGTATCGAGCTGAGACCTGATGAGAAGGGTCAGGGAGTGCACACAGGAAATGGTTCAATAGACCAGAGTTGACAGGATTGGAGCTGGAAAAGGATGTTGTGGCTTCCAACTGTTTCACAAGGGACACTTGTGACTCTTTCCTCGTCCAGTTCAGTCTCTCCTTTGTATTAACTGTGTGACCTAGCAGGGATTGTTGAAGGAATTAGAAACAATATTTTGCTGTCTTAAATCACGGTAGGACAAAGCTAGGTCTTGAACTTCCTGTGAGTCCTTCATAACACATTGATGAGCATATAGTAAATACTGAATTGATGGACAGAAGAATGTAGTGTTTCCATTGAAAAGAAGCTCATTTTAGAAGTACTTTACTATGTGTAAATTGATAGTATTAAGTGTGTAAGAAGAATTGGTTATCATCTGAAAATTATTCTGTCAATATATCCACAAACATTAATTTATTAATATAATATATGCCATCTGTTTCAACAATTTTTGCCTCCAGGAAAAAAACACTGTTTTAAAAGTTAATGGTTAAAAACATTATTTTTGGAGGGTATAATTATACAGAATTTTTGCTTTCTGGATTAAATATTTCTTTTTGGTGTTCGGGTTTTGTTTTTAAGTGTGTTACTTTATAATCAATAACAAATTTAAGTTGGTGTTAAAGATAGATTTTAAAAATGGTTGTACTTGGAAGAGATTTGCTGAAGTTCCTGTGTATGTTTATTCAGGGAAAACATGAAGGCAATGACAAACACCGAAGACAGAGAAATGAGGAGAAAGAAGGAAGAATATTTAACTTTTAGTCCCCTAACAGTTGTAATATTTGTGGTTGTCTGCTGTGTTATGATGGTCTTACTTTATTTCTTCTACAAATGGCTGGGTAAGAAGTCATGTTTTATATTTGCCATTTTTAGTGTACAATCTTTTCACTTACTTTGCCAGATTTATCTTTTCCTTTAAGGCATTCTACCTGGAAAACTTAAGTGAATAATTTAAAAAGTGATATTAACTTTTTTTAAATGGTTAAAAGTGTTAGGTCCCCATTACTTTGGGATTAAAAAAATATATTCAGATTAAAATATATACTGTCTTGAGATAAGAACCCTTCTTTGTGGATGACTTGAAAGGATTGCTATGGTCCCTACATTTCCCTCCCTGAAGATAAAGCATGAAATCCTAGTATCTAAAGAACAAGCTAAGCATTTCTTGGTTGCTGTCTTTGGTTACATGAAATAGAAGGTTATTCAGATTACTGATTTATTGCCTTTGCTCACCCCCAAAGTGTAGTTTATTCTTTTTTCAGTTTGCAAATCAAGATGTTGTATTACTTGAATTTTGTTTTACTTCTATAAATTATTAGGATCATACTACATCTAAAGACACACAGGTACTTGCCTGTGGTCTACAGTGTAACTGATACTTTTATCTTTAAGTAGGTGTGGTAGGAACATAATGGCTTGTCCATACCCTGGACAATTTTCTCAATTGTTTGATTGGATAGAAATTTGCCATCCCTGGCCAGTATACAGCACAAAGAGGAGGTGGTAAGACCAGGGAAAAGGGGAGTGTGCCTGATGAGAACTAACAAAAACCCTTTGTGAAAACCACCAAAGGCTACAATACTTACTTGGAGAACATTAGAATAATTTCCTGGACTAGAAAATTGAGGCCTCAAGGTTAGTTTCAGCTTACTCAATTTCTCCTGTCCTGTGGCAGCAATGAAAAACTATGACCTATGACGTATATTTCCAATTAGAAAATAATCATCCTTTGACTAACACTCATATTTCAATCTGTTGGGAGAGTGAGTTCTAGGGTGTTATTTGTATTGTGTTGTCATTGACTAGCTGATTTTCCTATTTTAATAGCCTTCAAATATTTGTGTCCGAGCCCTAGTCAATATATTAGTGGTCTTTGATAGAAAAAGAGATTTCTGTGCCCTATCCTAAAGAATGTTTTGTGCCCTGGCCAGTTTCCTCAGTGGTTAGAGCCTCGGCCCGCAGACCAGAGTCCCGGGTTCCGTTCCCGCTAAGGGCACGTACCTCGGTTTCAGTTTGTCGCTAGCCCCAGATGGGGTTGTGTGGGTGGCAGCCAGTCAATGTGTCTCTCTCACATCGATGTTTCTCTCTCTCTTTCTTCCTCCTTCTCTCTCTCCTGCTCTATCTGAAGATGAATGCAAAAATGTCCTCGGGTGAGGATTAAAAAAAAATTTTTTTTTTAATTTTTGGTGGATATTTCCTTAAACTGATTGCTTTGTAAGATTTGATTTACCTCTAAACGGTTTCTTATGGCTAAATACGCTGCCTTTTCTTAAAGTATTAAATAATGGGACTGTACTAAATTGCTAGGATTCCCCTTACCATTTTGATTGTCATGCTCAAGGAAGTAACTAAAGACAGTTACATTAACCAAATGCTTTTTCATGCCCAATCATTTTCTTAGCTGTAGTATGACACTGAATGAGACACCTGAAATCTGTTAGGGCCTCAACAGCCTGGTTTCCACCAGTGTTGTAAAACTTGGGTTGGAGACCTTTGGTGGATGACTGCCAAACTTAACTTGGCAATCTCTGAATGTCTTACTATTTGTATTACCATGTATAACCAATACTTAAAATAACAATAACAGTTACATAATATTATGTGCCAGATACTGTTCTAAGCATTTTATATATATTAACTTATCTAAGTCCTCACAATAACCCTGCATGGGTATCATTACATTTTACATTTTAAAGACTGATGCTCAAGGGACTAAGAAAGGAATTTGTCCAAGATCACCCATTAGAAAGTGGCTATTCCTGATTTACTGTCTCTAGATTACTTTCTCTTTTTCACCTGCAGAACAGTTATAGTTTTCTGCAATTTAATGGAATTTGAAATATTCAGGTAAAATTTGTATTTCCATTGTGAAATTCTAATAGAGTTCAGAAAACAAATTATTATTTTATTTTAGAATACAATAATCCCCCACATTTTAACAACAAAGAGATAAAATGTTTTTGATTTTAAAGAATTCTCAAATAAGTATAGGTACTATAGAAAAACACTGGTCAATTTTAACTGCCTTAAATATTGTATCATAACAAAGAGGTTTGTTTAAATGGATTTGGTTTTACCATAGGTAATTTATAAATAAATTCTACTTTAGGAAATTATAGGTAGCATGGCTAATGTCTACAGTATCAGTTCTCATCTCCAAGCTGCATTTAAAAAATGTTTATAATGATTTATTAATTATTCCATTTCTAACATTAAAATTAAATATTCACAAATGTCTGCAACTCACTTTATAGAAATCTTTAACAAACATGTCAGTTTGAATAATTGAATGATAGTGTAGTGTCGAGCCAGCTTCAGCCCCTTAAGCAATCCTACCAGTGTATAATGGAACTAAAACAACACAGAAATACTCTTAAAATTCAAGATCTAAATATTTTTGTTAGTAACCAATTCAGATTATAATATGGTCAGTGCATTACAAGTATCATGATCCAATGAGAAGGCTAAATAATTAATATGGATGTGTAAACTTTCTTGTTACATTTTTTTTCTGTTCTCATATAATTTAGTGTCTTATTTTGTTTTTTCCTAGTTTATGTTATGATAGCAATTTTCTGCATAGCATCAGCAATGAGTCTGTACAACTGTCTTGCTGCACTAATTCATAAGATACCATATGGACAATGCACGTATGTATCTCTTATAAGGACTCCTGTAATGTTGGTTTTTGTAATTTGAAACAATACAAGAAAAAGTAGGAGTCTTCTTTTAAACCTGTGCAGTTCAGTATGCATGTGGCTATTTAAATTTAAATTAATTAAAATTAAATAAGGTGAAAAACTCAGGTCCTCGGTTTCATTAGCCACATTTCAAGTGCTAAACTGCCACAGGTAGCTGGTGGCTACTGGATTGACAGCACCGATGTGGAACCTGTGCATCATCACTGAAGGTTCTACGGAACTGATAAGCATTTTATTATTTTATTTTATTATGTTTTACCTAAAATCAAGACTTTTACATTGGTATTTCAATAGCTTTCTTGCGACTGTGGTTAACATTGGTTATTTCTATTAAGTGAACATTTTGGTTCATCTGCAAGATAAACTAACCTATTTCCATTTGTTGTTTTTTTTTTTTTAGGATTGTGTGTCGTGGCAAAAGCATTGAAGTGAGACTTATTTTTCTTGCTGGACTGTGCATGGCAGTAGCTGCTGTTTGGGCCGTGTTTAGAAATGAAGATAGGTATAAATACTTGGTTTATTTGCTTTTAGATTACAGATGAATTATTTTATGTCTTGCCCTGATAATTATTCATTATTATTGTGGAAGTGTTTTGCTTTTATCCCAGAACACTATAGTCTTGAAAAAGGTTACTTGTTAAATAAGCACATCTTGTGTTAATGGATTTGAGGTCATATGATTCATGATTTAAACATTTAAGCTGAAATAGACTTATTTACATATATAGAGTACAATGTTGCTATAAAGAATGAAGATCTATATGAATTGATATGCAGTGATTTCCAGAATATATTTTAAGTGAAAAAAGCAACGTGCAAAAGAATAAGTATGCTAGAGTAGGCTACCTTTCATTTACTAAAGAAGGGGAGATAAGAAAATATACAGACATTCATCCATTTGTTGGAAGGATAACCAGAAGAAATATATATTTAAGTTTATTTAATAATTTAATAAAATTATTAAAGCCCAAAGCATTTAATGGCCTAAAATTTTGGGAGCAAAGTTCATACACTTTTAGGCAGCTTCAAATATGATAAATCAATTGGTAGTTAATGCATATCAATTTCTGATAGAGTATATTGTATAGCTCTTGTTCTCTTTATGTTCCAGCTATCTAGAAATATATTAACACCAATATCTTTTGTTATAAGCTACCTTTCTGGAAGGAGACATATATAAATTCAGAGATTAAAGATAAATATGTATTTGTCTGATATACATTCTTCTGAGGTAGCCTTTCAATTTTTTCTTAGTATAATAGTATTCATTATTCTTCTGGGACAGTAAATTACCAAATATGGAGAATAGGAGAGGTATTTTATTGTTGCCATAATTGCTGCTTAATTATTGAAGAGTCAAATCATAGCAATTGAACAGTTTTACTTTAGTGATCTATTCTTTTGAAAAGTTCCATCTGAAAATAACTGGATAAAACAATAGAGTAACTTCTTTTGATTTTAGGTGGGCTTGGATTTTACAGGATGTCTTGGGGATTGCTTTCTGTCTGAATTTAATTAAAACACTGAAGTTACCCAACTTCAAGGTAAGGTATACTACTCTGTTGGCTAAAATAATAATTTCTTTTTTATGTTTTTATTATTATTATTATTATTACTGATTTTAGAGACAGAGGGAGGGAGAGAGAATGAGAGAGAAATTGATGTGAGAGATACATTGATTGGTTGCCTGTATGCGCCTGGACCAGGGACTAAACCTGCAACCTAGGTACATGCCCTGACCAGGAATCAAACCCACAACCTTTTGATGCATGGGACTTTATGGAGGTATAATTTACATATAATAAAAGGCACCCATTTTAAGTGTGACTTTCATATGTTTTACAAATATATAACACTGTAATCATCTCAGTCAAGTTAAACATTTCTCATCTCTTCTAAAGCTCTATCATGCCCTTTTTCAGTCAATCCTAAACCCCAGCTCCAGATAACCACTGATTTGCTAGCTAAAGTATATATATATATATATATATATTTTTTTTTTATAAAGGTGTTTTTTTTCCTTTATTGATTTTAGAGAGAGAAGAAATGAGAGGGAGAGATAGAAACATCGATGAGAGAGAACATCAACTGGCCGCCTTCTGCATGCCCCCCCACTGGGGATCGGGCCCACAATGTAGGCATGTGTCTTGACTGGGAATTGAACTGGCGACCTCTTGGTGCATGGGTCAATGCTAACCACTGAGCCACACCAGCCGGACCGTATTTTAATCATTTATATAATATGCCTAATTCATAAAATTCTTAAAAGATTAAATATCAGGGAAGAACATTTCTTTGTTTCGTGATTCTTTTTTGTAAAAAGGAGGGGATAGTCCTAGCCGGTTTGGCTCGGTGGTTAGAATGTTGGCACACAGACCAATGAGTCTCAGGTTCGATTCTGGTCAAGGGCACACACCTTGATTTCGGTTCATCCCCGGTCCTGGTCAGGGTTGTGTGGGAGGCAACCAGTCGATGTGGCTCTCTCACATCGATGTTTTCTTTCACTCCTTCCCTCCCACAATATCTGATGATAAATTGAAAAATATCCTCGGATGGGGATTAAAACACATAAAATAAAATAAAAAGTGGGATAAAGAACATAAACGTTTTAATGGGATTTATAGAATAAAACTACAAATAGTAATAACTATTAATGCCTCTTTGAAAAATAGTGTTCAAATATATGTTCACATGTTTATTTATAACTTGAAAAATAATCTCAATTTAGATATGGGAAGTTTGACCTTTAAATTTGTTTCTTTCAACAGTCATGTGTGATACTTCTAGGCCTTCTCCTCCTCTATGATGTGTTTTTTGTTTTCATAACACCATTCATCACAAAGGTATGAAATTTTTGAAATCCATGAGAAACATGCTAAAGGATGAGTCTTAAGCCTGTCTTAGATGATTGGTTTTGCACCTGTTTACCCCTGAGTGATTCTAACTCTCTTAAGAAAATTGTCATTGAAATTGGCCTTTTTTAATAGAGGATATGTTCAAAACTTTAAGCCATTCTGCTAAGTAAAAAATGTCTCCTGACTGATATGAACCTGAGAATGTCCATAAATTTGCTTCCTACCCTTTTTACAGTAACCTTTCTTACTATTGTGAAATAATAAATGTTTGCTATAGATAATATAGACAGCAAAAATAATGAAAATGTGTCATTGCTACTTTCATTTCTGTAGTTTTCGTCTTAGAGTGAAACAGTACCACCCTGGAAGGCTGCAGACCCACAGTGTAGCTCTGTAACCTTGTAACCCTGGCCGGTCCCTTAGCTCCTTGTGCTTTAGTTTCCTGATCCATCGTGTGAAGGTGTATCACTAGCATTTTATCCGACCTCTTCCATCAGTAAAAGTCCTTTGGTTGCAACTAACAGAACCCAGCCTACCTTTTCTGTACCAAAAAGGTTCCATCTGTCCAGGCTGTGTGGAGGCCAGGGTGGGGCTGGCCTCAGGAGGAACTAGATGCAGGGCCTCATCTGCTCCCTTTCTGCTTCTGTCCATCTGTTCCTTGTCTCAGACTGGCTGTCTCCATGAGGTTAGCATCATGGCAGCTGGCAGCTCCTAGGTCCTCTGTTTGCAGTTCTGCCACTAGCTCCTCAGTAAAATGAAGGTGCTGTTCCCAGCATAAGAGAGGTGTTGGGTGAGTGTGGTCAGCTTTCACTATTTGCCCAATTTTCCTTCTTTGCCCCTATTCCTATCTCATGACTATATTTTTAATTATTGCTTAATTCTCCCTCTTTCCCTAGTCTGTTTTGAGTCTTGCTTTGTAACTTTCTATCATCTCTTTATCCTTTGTCACTCTCACGTATTTACTATTTGATATTATAATCACTGGTTTTCTCCCATTAGTTCTGTATCCATTCTTTAGCCCCTGCCATCTGTGAACTCATTTAAAAACTGTGCACTTCCCAGTAGGTACTTGTTAAAATGGTGTAAGACAAGCATATGCCCCATTGGGGAGCTAAAGTTACCGCAAATCACAGCTCCTTCCCATGCCTTGGTGATGAGCCATTTGACTCATTGACTTCATTTGCAGTAGCACCCTGCAAAAGCTTAGAACTTGTATTACGGATTATAACAAAACTTGTTAACTTATTAAAGCATTTCTAAAAGTTTTATCTAAAGTTATTCTAACTTGTAGCAATATATTTGGTTCAATAAAATGTTTCTGTAAGTCACCCCATCAGAGATCCCATAGTGAAAGTAAAGCATTCTCTCTTCAAAGCCATTGTCATAAGTCAACATATCATCATAGCACATGACATATATATTTAACAGTGGCTATAGCTATAAACTATAACTAAATTCTTATTTTAAAATAATTTTTCTTTCTGTTTTAACAGTAGTATCACTTTTTTAAAATATGTTTTTATTGATTTTTTTTAGAGAGAGAGGAAGGGAGAGAGAGATAGAAACATCCATATGAGAGAGATGCATGAATCGGTTGCCTCCTGCACGCCCCCCTACTGGGGATCAAGCCCGCAACCCAGGCATGTGCCCTGACTGGGAATCCAACGGGGAGGACCTCTCAGTCCATGGGACAATGTTCAGTCCACTGAGCCACACTGGCTGGCCACTAGTATCATTCTTTAAATGGCATATGTGTCTGCCAGCAAACCATTACCAATCCCTACACATAAAAGGTTTTAGAATTTTAAAGGTATGGCGTAACAATAAAGATGTCTTTGAGCCCTCTTTCTTCCTTCTGTGCTTAGGGAATTTTTCATCCTTTTTTTTCCATCTTAGTTCCAACCGACTAGGAATGTGATTTCTCGAAGAGTGGTCAGGTGGAAAGATTGAAGTGCTCTTTGCTCTGTTCACTCTTACAGATGAACTTTAATACCGCCTTCTCAGTCCAGTTTGTTTTTATTGAGGCTACAGACCTTTTTTAGTAGGTAACTCAAAATGCAAATTAGATATGTAATTTCTTTTCTTTTTTTTTTTTTAATTTTTTTTCTTTATTGATTTTAGGGAGAGAGGAAGGGAGAGGGAGAGAGAGAGAAACACTGATGAGAAAGAACATCAACTGGCCACCGCCTCCTGCATGCCCCCTGACTGGGGATTTGGCCCACAACCTGGGCATGTGCCCTGACCGGGAATTGAACCAGTGACCTCTTGGTGCATGGGTCAATGCTCAACCACTGAGCCACACCAGCCAGACTCAGATATGTAATTTCTCATTTTTGTGGTTCTCACTGAAAATTTCAAGAATTAAATATAGGACATTCTAAACATGTTCTTTACCCTGGTATTAGTAAACTTTTAATGAGTTGGCAGGACTGGTGGCCATAAGTACAGGCAATAAGAGCCTGTCTTCATTTTTATTTCATCCTCTGTGGTTTTTGGTATAGTATTTTACAAATGGTAGTTACTCAAATATTTTTGAATGTATGAGAGGTTATCAGTGATGGTCTTCAGTTAAATGTTTTAAATAACAGAAAACAAACCAAACTCTATCTGAAAATTGAATCACATGATGGAAGTTTGCTGTAAAGAACTGTATTCACTATTAGTTTATTTTTCTAAATTTCTGTAACTTAACCCTTCAGTAATCTAAAGTGTAACACGAGGAAAAGATTTCTGTATTTCTGTATCTAGGGATTGTATCCTTCCTTCTGCTTAGCTCAGGTATCAGTGAAGTCCTCTTAAAAACACTCCAGTGATTTCTTCTATGTACCCCTCCCACATGTAAAATATTATAGTTAGTAAGTCCAGCTTTCCTAAAATTCAGCATTTATTTATCTTTCTACTACCTATTAGGGGGATATATTTATCATAATGTGAAGTTTGCTACCTCAAAATGTTTCCCCTCTCCACAACAGACTTGGCTGTCAGGAAAGAACTTTTTAATGAACTCCTCACAGAGCCCACATAAAAGGCCTGACCCAGACACAAGAGAGGAAATTTGGCTAAAGTTAATGTTTTGATTGGAACATAAAATTAGGAAAGGCTGACATTGGACAGGAGTTAGACTAGAGAAGCTTCTCAAGTTCTTTAGGGCTGGGTCTCTTTGAGTTTGGCTTCATTATTTTGTTATTGTGAGTAGCCAGAGGTCAGATGTATAGTTATTCAAATAAAGTTACCAATATTTATTATAAATCTAAATATAAAGAATTTAGTATTTCTTGTGTCCCTATTAATCGTTATTGCTAAAAGTGACTAAGGACACATAGTGTATGATATAACTAAAAGCACAAAAATTAAAGTCCACTAGAAATGCTAGATAATAGTTGTCAAAAAAAAACAACAACAGTGCTCAAAGCTTCACTTGAATAAGCTGTATGTAGTTTATCTGTCAGTTTCTGAAAATTGTTGAGTTCTGATAAAGTAGAGCAGTGTGCTAGGTGGATTTTGTTTTAGATGACTCCAATTTTTGCTGTCTACAGAGACGGTTTCAGGAAAAAAGCAGTCTAGGGCACATTTTTAAATCAATTTATAGTAAGCCATAAGCCACGGGGCCAAATCATTCTTGAATACAGGCAGATTGTTCTCTTCAAATGATTGGACAATTTCTTTTCATCTTCCTTCTCAATTTTAGAACGGCGAGAGTATCATGGTTGAACTTGCAGCTGGACCTTTTGGAAATAATGAAAAGGTAGCGATGGCAATTAAGCAGAAATGGCTGCCAGTGTATGTATGTGTGTCCAGTTAATAATTGCCTTCCTGTGTAATTAATTGGCTATGTAGTGCATGTTAAGGTATTGTAAAACTTTATTTCTCACAAAATATAGCCCTTTTCTTAGTTATTCTAAATTATTAAATACCTGTTGACTTGGGTTTCATCCTAGAATGATGGAAACTTGGTGGAAGCCACTGCTCAGCCCTCAGCTCCCCATGAGAAAGTAAGGACTGTATTTCAGATATGTTCATTGGACTTTAAATTACACCCTCTGAGACAAGACTCTTCTTTGGGGGAAAAAAATCCAGATTGCAAAAAAGAAAAGAAAAGAAAAGAAAAATCTGTTTCAAGGCCTGAGTCCTATTTTTACTAAAAAGGGAAAAAAAGTTAGATGTGGGGATACTGGAATTAATACTACCTGTGTTAACCCTACATGTGTTTTGTTTTTCCAAAACTACATATCTAGTTCTTTCAAGCTTCCTATATGTTCAGAGTATATATGTGTCTAGTTTATGTTCTCTGATTTTCAAGTTCTTCTAAATGTCAATTTTAAAGTGTTAAACAATTATTCTAATATTAATCTGTCCCTTTCTAAAAGATATGGGCAAAGATTCCTAAGAGGTTTATTGGTGACCTTTTTTTTTTTTTTTTTTTTTTGATAATTACAGTTACCAGTAGTCATCAAAGTACCAAAGTTGGCCTATTTCTCAGTAATGAGTGTATGCCTCATGCCAGTTTCCATATTGGGTTTTGGAGACATTATTGTACCAGGTAAACAATTGTTTATAACAGTTTCAGTAAAAATACATTGATTGTTTAAATTTGTCAAATGTATAATATCTGTTAAAAGTTACCGGCTCCGGCCCTGGCCAGTTTGGCTCAGCGGTTAGAGCGTCAGCCTGTGGTCCAGAGAGACCTGGGTTCGGTTCCCGCTAAGGGCACGTACTTCGGTTGCAGTTTGTCCCCGGCCCTGGTTGGTCGTGCGGGTGGCAGCCACTCGATGTGTCCCTTCACGTCGATGTTTCTCTCTCTCTCCCTTCCTCTCTCTCCCTCCCACTCTATCTGTACAAAAAAGAAAAAATATCCTCGGGTGAGGATAAAAAAAAAAAAAAAAAGTTACCGGCTCCGTATTAAGTATTTCTTGGCTTTCACTAGAGCTGGAATCAGTGACAAAGAAAGAAAACCTTTTGAGTGGTAGAACACAAAGCCCAGTTGATAACAACCAAAGTATATCTTCTATGGCTCAAAAGGTGTCTTAGAGGAAGCAAATAGGATCAGTTTGACCTTCTTCCTTAAGAAAGTACAATATATATCACAACCCTCTTTAAAAGTTGGATTTAAACCCTGGCCAGTATGGCTCAGCGGTTAGAGCGTCAGCCTGCGGACCAGAGAGTCCTGGGTTCGGTTCCCACTAAGGGCACGTATCTCTGTTGCAGTGTGTCCCCGGCACCGGTTGGGGTTGTGTAGGTTGCAACCACTTGATGTGTCTCTCTCACATTGATATTTCTCTCTCTCTCCCTTCCTTTCTCCTTCCCACTCTACCTGAAGATAAATACAAAAATGTCCTCTGGTGAGGATTTAAAAAAAAAAAGGTTGAATTTAATAATACCAAATGTATTACAGTTTCTGTTACTTCTATTTTAAAATGGTAGTAATATGTTAGGAAAAGTGATTTAGAGGGGAACATAGTAGACACTGCCCTATAGCACACTGCACTACAACAAAATACAACGTATGGTGGAGTTGATCAGCTTCTCCTAATGTGTCTTCTCTGGCAGTTAATTGCAGTTCTGCATTACTTTTCCTCACTGGGCTACCTGTAGAATAAACTTCATCATAGGCCATTAATAATATTGTTTAGGAGTAATTAATATTTCTCAGTCAGCTGGCACTTTGTCTTTCCTCACTGTTCTTACCATCCCCCTGGGTATTAAACCTGCTCGTAGATGGATAAAGGGTACGGGCTCTTCGGAAAAACACCCCTTTCATTTACATAGTAAAGCCAGATAGAGAGAAAATTTAACAGTGTAGCCTTATGAGTCGTGTGGCAAAATCAAATGTAACAACGGTCTTAGTTCAGTGAGTCTTCATTCACGTAACTGATAAAGTAGGGAGAGCATTTCATTGAGTAATGGTAAAGTTTCTTGAATACCTTTGAACTTATCCACACCGGGTTCACACCAAATGCTATATAAAATCTTGCATATGGTGCTTAGCATTGAATCGGGGGCAGGGGTAACATATAAACATTACATTCTTGAAGTAAATGTCAGAGGTCTCAAAATATATTTCTCCAAAGAGCAAAGTTTTTGATAATACATGACTTAATTCTAGAAACTAAATTCTAATTTGAGGAGAGGGAGTAACATTTTTTTTAAACACATGGAAATGTGATTAAACATTTAATGTTGTAAAAATAACAAGGAACTCATTTGATTATGTAGGGACTAAAACTACCAGTAAAAATAGTAAGTTAATGAATTCAAACAACCAATAAAAATAGTAAAATTATTTTATGATATTTAAATAGTTAAGTGTCATTCTTACTATTTCATACAGTGTTTAATTAGTAAATATAATCTGAAACTTCTTTGGAGAGGGTCAACAAATTTCTTAAAAAGAAATAGGTAATAAAATAGGTTATTTTTGTACATTTGCATATTTACAAATGAGAGCTTATATTTAATTTTTATTTGAACTTTTTGTATTAAAACTCCAAATCATTTTATTCTACTACAAAGAGAGACTTTGATAACAATTTGAAATTACCTTCCTTGATTCTCTTTTTTAAAATTTTTTTTTAATTGATTTTAGAGGGAGAGGGAGGGTGAGAGAGATAGAAACATCGATGAGAGAGAACATCGATTGGCCACCTCCTGCATGCCCCCCACCTGGGATTAGGCCCACAACCTGGGCATGTGCCCTAACCAGGAATCAAACCGGGACCTCTTGGTGCATGGGTTGATGCTCAACCACTGAGCCACACCGGCTGGGTTCTTGATGCTCTTTTCATAGGATATTTTTTTAAGTGCTACATTTAAAATTTTTTTCTTAACACTATATATCAAATGGACCTAACAGACATATACAGAACATTACAACCAATAACAGCCGAACACATACTTCTCAACATATATATGGGACATTTTCTAGGATAGAGATTAGACTACACAACAAATCTTACCAAATTTAAGAAGAATGAAGTCATGCCAAGAATATTTTCTGACCATAATGGTATGAAACTAGAAATCAATAAAAGGGGGGGAAAATGGAATATTTGTAAATGCATGGAAACTAAACAGCACACTCCTAAACAACCAATGGATCAAAGGGAATTTAAAAAGTATCTTGAGACAAATGAAAAGAGAACCACAGCATTCTCTTTATGGGATGCAGTAAAAGCAGTTCTAAGAGGGAAATTTTTAGTGATAAACACTTACATCAAGAAAATAGAAATATCACAGATTAATGACCTAACTTTACACATAAAGAAACTAGAAAAAGAAGAGCAAACTAAGCCCAAAATTAGAAAGGCAGGAGATAATAAAGATTAGAACAAATAAATCAAATAGAGGACATGAAAACAGTAGAAATGATTAACAAAACTAAGAGTTGGTTCTTTAAAACAATAAAATTAACAAACCTTAGGGGAGTGAGAACAGGGAGGAGGGGGTCAGTGGGGGGAAAGGGGGGGGACATCTGTAATACTTTCAACAGTAAAGATAAAAACAAAAAAAAACCTTTAGCTAAACCAAGAAAAAAGAGAAACAGAGCTCAAATCAACACAACTATAAATGAAAGAGGAGATATTATAACTAATACTACAGAAATATGAAAAGTTTTCACCATGACATGGAATAATAAGCAGCTAGTAAAAATCATGTTGTTAAAGACCGTTTAATGGCTTGGGAAAATGTTTAAAATATGGCATTAAGTAAAAAAATTAGTGTATAAAATTTTCCCCCAGAATTTGAGGTTCTTTAATGTTCTCACAATGCAAAAAATTAAGGTTAAATACAGTACAATGTGTGCTGTTGCCATAGTTCGTTGCTGTGGTTTTAAGAAAATAACGAGTGTTTTTTCTTTTAAGGCCTGTTGATTGCGTACTGTAGAAGATTTGATGAGCAGACTGGTTCTTCTTCTTCTATATACTATGTCTCCTCCACAATTGGTAAATTTTTTGTTTTTTCTTGTTATTATGTTGAATTGTATTATCTGTAGGAAAAGATAGAGATCTAAAAATAAGGAGTTCTGAATTCTAATTCTTCACCAGTAACTAAAAAGACCAGTTTTTTTCCAGCATAATGGAATAATTATATTTTATTACCTATATCATAAGGCTTTTGAGGTATAATAAGGAAATTATATGTGAAAGAAAAACATTAGGTTTTATGTATAAAATGCTTATTAGAACACCTGGCATACAAGTAGTCAATAAATTATATAATGCTAGATTTTTTTTTTTTTTTACTTTTTTTGTTTTATCCTCACTCGACATTTTTTGCATTTATCTTTAGACAGAGCAGGAGGGAGAGAGGGAGGAGAGAGAAAGAGAGAAACATTGATGTGAGAGAGACACATCAACTGGTTGCCACCCACACAACCCTAACCTGGGCCAGGGACAAACTCAACCGAGGTATGTGCCCTTAGTGGGAACTGAACCTGGGACTCTCTGGTCCATAGGCCAATGCTCTAACCGCTCAAACCAGCCAGGGCTATAATGCTAGATTTAAAAAAAAATACTATATGGTCTGGCCAGTGTGGTACAGTGATCGAGTGTCATTCCATGCACCGAGAGGTCACCAGTTCGATTTCTGGTAGAGGTACATGCCCAGGTTGTGGGCCTGACCCCCAGTGGGGGGCATACAGGAAGCAGCCAGTCGATGTTCTCTCTCATCAGTGTTTCTGTCTATCTCTCTCTCTCTCACTTCCTCTCTCTCACAAATCAAAGGAAAAAAAGTACTATATGGATAACTATGTATTTATACAAATGAATTTATGGCACAATAACATCTCACCTAGGACAGCAGAAGTAGTTGTTACTTACCCTCTGTTTCTATTGAGAACAGACAAGAACAGGAAGAAAGCCAAAAATACCACTTCTGAACATATCAAATAGATATCTCAAAGTCCATTCAAACTTCTTGTAGGTAAATGGTCTGCACCAGAGCCTTTAAATACTATTCTAGCAAGGTTTTCAATTCCACAATTGAATTAAATCTAGTAAAAGTGTAGGTTAGCATTAGAGAAGAATGTTGCTAGAAATAGGTACCCTGACAACTACAAAGAATAGCTAGGTGAATGAAGAGATGAAAAAAAGAAAAAAGAGTGATCTGAGGGGCCATTAAGTTTGTGCTGTCTAAGGGCTGTGTTAAGTGTGTACTCTCTGAGTCTAGCACCAGTTAGTGTGATACTATAAAAGAACACTTGGTGAAAAGGCAAATAATAGGGACTGTGTCAGTTCTGCTGTGTCACTTTGAACAGCTCACTGAACTTCCCTGGTCCTCCACTGCCTCATCTACAAAATGAGGAGGTAGACTAAATTATCTGTAAGGGCCCTTCCAGCTCCAATATTCTCAGCTCCCACGTTCACAATGAGACCCTGAGTCATTAAGAAAAGATGTAATGATGTTCGGTATGCTTGTGTTGAACAGGCCAGGAAATATATGATCACTGTTAGGAAGATTTTTTTCAAAGCAACCATTAGTACCTACAGGTACAAATTTCAGTTATCTAAAATGTGAGACAACTCAAAGTCCTTAATGGTGATAGATACATGAGACTTGCTTTATCTATGGTTGATGATTAGGATAATTACAATTGAAATACTAAGCAGTTTCCAAATTGTTCAAAAGCTCTGTAGAATGTCTTTTCTAATTGATGTCTGGGAAAATAATGAAATTATGAAAAGAAGTCATAAGGTGAAATCATCCTCAAATACGTGAAAACCAGTACCCCAACTAGGGAGTTAAAATCCACCTTTGGAAGCATTCAGAAATGACTGGCATTTTGTATTCTTTTTGCAGCCTACGCTGTTGGCATGATACTTACATTTGTTGTTCTGGTGCTGATGAAAAAGGGGCAACCTGCTCTTCTCTATTTAGTACCTTGCACACTTATTACTGCCTCAGTTGTTGCTTGGAGACGTAAAGAAATGAAAAAGTTCTGGAAAGGTAACAGCTATCAGGTATGTGCTTATTTTTCAGCACCAAGTTATCTTATGAAATAATTCACTGACTAACTTTGGAACTGCCTATATAAATCGAAGCTTTTATGTGCCAAAAATTTATCTTGGATCTCTCAGGATGTCCTTTAAGTTTTTTCCACCACTGACCCCTTCCTGTCCACCTGCTGCATCATCAGTTCTCATCACCAATGCAATCTGATGCCCATATCCTGGTGACTCAAGAGAAAACTACCAAAAAGGAGTGGGAGGGCATCAGGGGAAAGCAAAACACGTTTCAACATGAGTTTTCAAAATCCACACAAAAGTGGACTTCGTGGAATATGTTTAACTACTGAGTTTTGAGACTAAGGTTTTGTAGATAAAAAGTATATCCTTGCCCTGGCCAGTGTGGCTCAGCTGGTTGGAGTGTCCCATATACCAAAAGGTTATAGGTTCAATCCCCAGGGCACGTATAGAAGGCAACTGATCAATGTTTTGATTACATCAGTGTTTCTCTCTCTCTCTCCCATCACCACTTCCTCTCTCTCTCTAAAACTCAATTTAAAAAACCATATTCTTGGATGAGGATTAAAAAAAACAAATGTAACCGGGCTGGTGTGGCTCAGTGGTTGATCATTGACCCATGCAATAAAAGCTCCCCAATTTGATTCCTGCTCAGGACATGCCCGGATGGTGGACCTGATCCCCAGTGGGAGGCATGCAGGAGGTGGCCAGTTGATGTTCTCTCTTATCAATGTTTCTATCTCCCTCTCTCTTCCTCATTAAAATCAATGAAGAAAAAAAATTATTTAAAAACAACAGATGTATACCTTCTTCAACATCTAAATGGGCCTAAATAAATTAAATAGGGCACTCATTTCAGATTTAAGTGGATTAAGATTCATCTTTCTGTAAAATTTCAGGACACAAAAAAATCTTAATACCAGACTCCATTATGTTTGAGTTGTTTCTTCATTCAAGTTAAACTCTTTTCTTCTTTTTCCGAATGTTCTTGGAATTTCAGTAAAGTTTGTTTGCACTGGGATTAAAGAGAAACCCTAGCCTTTGAGGTCAGGGTCATGGCATTGATCCCTTCATGAGGCAGTCAGCTCTGCTTTGCCCTGTCACAACAAACTGCCCTCCTCCCTCCTCCCTCCACCCTCATGCATGCGTGTCAGTGGTCACGTGAACAAAACAGCGATACTTTGGGTGGATGACGCAATTCTGTTTGTAGATAAACAGTTCAAAGTTCATATCCATCTTGTGGTTGGTCTGTAGTATCATCTTTTTTTCAACAAGAGGTAATTAACACATTATATTAGACTACTATATTTGGGAAAAGCACTGGTCTAGAATTATTTTGAATAAATCTTGTAATTTCTCTGAGATTTGGATAAAATAACAATACCTGCCCTGACTACCGCACAATGCCATTGTTTCAACATGTATCTATATACATAGAATTTATACAGGTAGGTTTAGGATGACTATACTGTTGAGTAAGCGTAGGGGAGCTGTAGGAAATGAAAACTGGGGAAGGGAGCAAGGGTAAGAACCTCTAGGGTCTTACAAGCCTGTTAAAGAGTTTTGATTCTATGCTAAGAACATTGGGGACCATTTAAGGGTTTTAAAAAATTTAGAAAATGTATCAAAGAAGGGAGCAAAACTTGAGGCAGCTATTGCAATAAGAAGCAATAGTAGCCATAATCACGAATGTAGCGTGATTGAGAGAGGTGAACAAAGTCAAGGGAAAGTGAGAGGCATGATTAATGGGATGTGGTAATAGATTCAATGAAGGGGAAGGGGGAGGAAGTGGAGTCCAAGGTTTCTGGCTTAGGCAACTGAGTGGGTAGATGGTGATACCACTCACTGAGATAAAGAAGGGCAACAAGTTTGAAGAGGAAGATGATCAATTCAGTGTTGGACAAGTTAAATATTGACTATGGATTCAGTTTTGAACATTTCAAAGTTCCTATAAGACCACCAGGAAGAGAGAAATACTAGGCAATTGAATAAATGTCCCCTGATGTGCAGGAGACAAACCAAGGTAGAGATAGAAATTTGGGAGTGTCATCGACACATGCAGTGAGCGAGTGAGAACATGGAGGGAGAAGAAAAGACTCAGGAAGAATTGTGAGCAAGAGGTTTCCACTGTTAGGGTACCTGTCTGATTCACTGATTATGACATAAGCATAAGGAAGATGAAAAACACAGGGAATTTTTGTTTAGGGTTAACATTAAATCTGAGGTTAGAATTTAAATTTGGGGGCTGTTAGTGAAAGCATGTGGTATTTTACAAAAATAAATATATTTCTCGTTATTTTCATCACCAGCATTTTATTTTTATTTATAAAATTTTCCTTTCCCTTTAATACAGGTAGGGCAAAAATAGGTTTACAGTTGTTAGTATGTGAAACACAGTTTATTCTTGTATTATTATTTATTAATTATTGTATTAGTACTCATGTGAACAACTGTAAACTTACTTTTGCCCCACCCTGTACAGATTTTGAAATATTTTATTATACAAATACATGCTTATTACAGAAAATTTTGAAAATGTAGAAAAACACAAGAAAATTAAATCCATCAGTAATCCCACCACCTACAGATAGCCACTCTTAAGATGTGAGTTTCTGCCCTGGCCAGTTTGGCTCAGCGGTTAGAGCGTCGGCCTGCGGTCCAGAGAGACCCGGGTTCGGTTCCCGCTAAGGGCACGTGCTTCGGTTGCAGTTTGTCCCCGGCCCTGGTTGGTCGTGCGGGTGGCAGCCACTCGATGTGTCCCTTCACGTCGATGTTTCTCTCTCTCTCTCTCTCCCTTCCTCTCTTTCCCTCCCACTCTATCTGTACAAAAAAAAATGGAAAAAAATATCCTCGGGTGAGGATAAAAAAAAAGATGTGAGTTTCCATTTATGCCTTCCTAGATAAATGGATAGGTGAGTAGATGATACTATACTCTAAGTAGTTCTCTATCTTATTTCTCCACTATATGTTAGTTATTTCATTTTAAATTTCTTGTAAAAATCATTTAAATAGCTATGTAGTATTCTCTCATATGCATGTACCACACGTTATTTTACCATTTCCTTTGGCCCAGTAATTTCTCTTCAGCAGGTTGTCCAGAAAATAAAAATTGGGGCAAAAATGATGTGAAAAGATGTTCACTAGAGTACTTCTGGTCATCTTTGTTCTGTTGTAATGACTTATAGGTTAATGTTATTGGCAGTTAATGAACTAACATTTTTACATAGACCCTCACTCTGCTTTTACTTTGATTATTTTCGTTTTATGTTTTAATTACAACGTAATGCATGTTCACCTTTTTAAAATTCCACATAATTTATTTATTAAAAAAATTTTGTTTTTAATTTTAGAGAGCGGAAGAGGGAGAGAGAGAAACGTCGATGTGAGAGAGAAATATCAAACATCGATGGTTTGCTTCCCGCACGCACGTACCCTGACTGGAGACTGAACCCGCAACCTAGGCATGTGCCCTGACCAGGAATCAAACCGGCAACCTTTTGGTGCACTGGACGACGCTTAATCAACTGAGCAACACTAGCCAGAGTGATGTTCACATATTTTAAACAAGCAATACAAAAATGTCTGAAGTAAACATAGAAGGCCCTTTTCTAACTCCTCTGTCCCCACACCTACCCTTAAGGGGCAGCTACTGTGAACAGTTTATGTGGAGCTTTCAGATCTTTTTATGCCAACTCATACCATAAATACAGCAGTTGAATGTTTCGAGATGTGTACATAGATGTAATAACATTGTGTCCCTTTGGAAATAGCCTACAGCTTATTTTTTTCTCAGGGTTATGATAGCACCTTTCCTCTTTTCTCTCACATGTTTATTGAGGAGAAAGGGGATGATAGTAGGTAAGGAAGGAATTCAAGCAACGGATGCATTCATATTCCCTTTGAACAAATGCTCTGCCCTGGGCCATCTGAGTTTCATTCTTAAAAATTAGGGTCTTGAAAAAAATTATGATTCTGCTTCACAGCAGCTATACAGGGAAACACTGCAGCTGGACACAAAGCAGCAGTAAATGGCCTGGAAGGGCAGGCTCCAGGGCCTGACCACATGACCTAGTAGCTAAATAAGACAATTAATTGTAGGAAAATTCATTTAAAAGTGTCTGAAAAGATAGAACAACTTTGGTTATACACTTCTCACGTTTATAGTGTGACGTCATATGTCATAATTTTATTAGATAAAGACATAATTTTATTAGATAAAGACAACGTAGTAATAGAAAATGTGGAGTCTGCTGCCGGACTGACTACGTTGTAACAATTTTGTTAATTATTAGCCATGTGTCCTTAGACAAGTTACTTAGGCTCTTAGTGTCTGTTTCCTCTGATGTAAAATGGGATAATAATCATCCTACTTAAGAGGATGGTTGTTATATATGCAAAATGCTTAGATAGTGCCTGGGACAGCATAAATGTATTTGTTATTATTATTTGTAAGAATTTTTGTTTTGGTATATTTGTTGGTTTGACTGTTATTTTTCAGTTCAGTTACTAGATTTACATTTTCCTGGTTTGGGTATTAAAACTTTGGGTCTTTGTTAAATCTGGTTCCTTTAACTTATTTGTAAAAGGATTTGATAATCATCACAACCTCAGAGGAAAAAATCTGTTAAATACTGTTATTTTCCTATTTTGCACTAGATTTTTAAATATAAAGAATGAATATTTGCTGAAATTTTAATCAAACTGTTTGCAGAATTTATAAACTGCCAAGAGAGTCTATTTTTCTAGAAAAGTATCATTTTTTTGAAACTTATAGAATGGAATGCCTTCATAAAATTATTCCCTGGTTAAGGTTTCTGAAAAAAGAAAATCTCTTACTGCTTTTGTCTAACCTTTAAAGTCAAAATTAATTTAGCTTGAATGTTGTCATTTGTGGTATAGTATAGGCTATATATAGACACTATATTATAGGCTTTGGCATCAGTTCTGGCAAATTACTCAATCTCTTAAAACTGTCTCCTTGTCCATAAAATGAAGTTAGATCTATAGGCAGGTAGGAGAATGTGTAATCCATGATGAGTTAGCCCAAGACTTGGTGAGGCAGCTGGATGTTAAAATCAGGTAAGGCTAGGCAGACACTGGGAAAGTAGAACAGGGAACCTCAACAAGCCTGGTAAAACAGAGAGGAGACTAGATATGGACCTATTATAGGATAGGCCTGAGGATCAGCCCTGAAGACCATACTCAGGCAGTTACTGACTCATCTCTTAAGCTAACAGTGTCATAATACTTTCTTTTCTCTCCCTCTACTGTCATTATCTTTACAGCATTGCCAGTCTGTTTCCAGAATATCCCTTATGTAATTCCCAACTCAAAATCTCCCTTCTCCAAGCAGATATCTAAGAGTTCTCCAATTAAAATTAAGTTCACCTTTCCCCAGATTTTTTTAGACTTTGTACTTTAAATACTTATTAACATCTTGCCTTGTAGTGTAGATATTTATGTATACCCCCTTATTAATTTATTAGCCCCTAGGTGTTAGGAGCCCCAGTGCTGACAACAATGTTTTATACACTATAAATTCTCAGTATATTGTAATTCTCTGTGCGAAACAGCTATAGTGTTTAGTCTTGAGTCCACTGACCTTTAGTCACTTCTGTGTGCATGTACAAGCGTCCTGGTTGTATTTCAGCAGCCCTCATAAAACTACCAAAATTGTTATAAGGTATTGTAATAGTGAGGCACTTTTAAAACATTAAACTAGGCTTACTTGTCTACAATCTTTATATATAGTCATCTTTTGCGAGTGCCAAAAGTTTTTGCTACTGTTTTGAAAAAAATCAAATATAAAATAAAATCAGAATCAAAGGTGATGGCTTTTTTTTTTTTTTTTTTTATAACTGTTCATCATTTGGTTCATTCTAATATCTGATAGTAGAGTGGAGTATAAGTGGTAAAAAGCAGGACTTTCCCCTGGAGACTTCCAAATGTCATAGGATCCCCTAGAGCCGCTATATGTTGTTTTCAACGGGCAAATTATACCTCATTTGTTGCTGAAACTTGAGAGACTTCATAGAAATACTTTACTATTTTACTTGGTGTCTTTCAGCCCTTTCCATGAATTTCTCTGATTAAAAGAAGTAACGTTTCTATAGGATACCACCAAAATAATACTAATTTGGAAATCTTAATTGTATATACTTCTCTATAGGTCAGAGTTATTTATTTATTGCTAATATTTTCTACGAACATTTTTTTCTAGAATGCTTCAGGAATACAGTATTTCGTTCCATTTAATTTTACTCAAAGTCTTAGTTCTTATTAGTGTAAATTAAGGTGTATTTCTCTAGAGAGAAAAATCAGAAGTGGCATAATTACTCTGACACATAAAACAATTAAAATAAATCATCATTTTAGGAGATTTTTTGTTTGTTTATTTCTAATCCTAAATCTTCGGAGTTAGATTTGTGTAACCAACTCCAATGGGTGGGAAGTAAGTTTTCAGTCTGTTGATATTCATAAACAATGGGTTTGTCTCTGTTAAATGTCACTAGTGCTTCTAATTATTTTTAGAAGTCACAAGCTGTGACTGACAAGTGAGAATAGAGATACTTAGAACAACTCCACTTTAGTATCAACAGCTCTCTGGTTACCCTACTTTAATGAGTGTTTTATTAGACTGTTTCTGGAGACTGGTTCAATTATAAATAAGCAGTACTATCAGTGAATGATATGTTTCTATATTGTTTTTATTGAAAATAAAGAAAAGTAAATGCAGAGTAGAGATGTTTATTTCTGAATAAGTTGATTTTTGAAAGTGTTTTTTTTTTTTAGAACATATATATATTTAGGGATTAGATTAAAGTGCCAATTAGAAAGAAGCAGCGTAACTCAGGGTATGTAGGCTATTATTTCACCAGGTCACAGTTGCCAGAGTAAACAGGTCTTGGAGAAGAAAGTGGGTTTCCCCACCATCCATCTGCTGAGCCCGCTTCAGTTCTCTCTCCCCCCACAGCTCCAGCCTCTTACACCCAGAGCTTCTAAATTTTTAGAAGAAAGAGGGGCTAAAAAGATCTTACATACTTCCCCTTTCCCTCCTTCATTTATTTTTTAGTTTTACATTTTTATTTTATTTTTTTCTTTATTGTTGAAAGTATTACAGCTGTCCCTCCTTTTTTCCCTCCATTGACCTCCCTCCTCCCTGTTCCCACCCCCTCCTGCTTTCCCCAAACTATTGTCTGTGCCGCTCCCCCTTCCCTCTGAGGTTTGTCAGTCTGTTCCCTATTTCCATGTCTCTGGATCTATTTTGATTGACAGCTTATTTTGTTCATGATATTCCATAAATGAGATCATGTTCCCTCTTCATTTAAATTGTGACTAAAATCAACTGTTCAACAACTTTATCATATGTTTCATGTAGTGAAACGGTTAATAAATATGCTACCTGCCTTGATTTGTCTCCACCCCACCCCCCGCCCTCGAAGTGGTGCAAACATGTAACTACCTTCATCTAGGGGATCTGTTTGGCAGATAGAGGACCTCAAAACTGATTGTTTGGAGACTTGAGATGGCCCCCAGAGTATCGGCAGGTTTGGGTGGTATAAACTGTCTCCATTACGTGAGATAGTTGTCAGCTGAAATCCTCAGTTCCAGTTTATTCTTGTCTGGCAAGTCCTGAGACCCCATTTGGAAATTATTCCTCTCTCTGCCTCCTCTTCCAAAAAATACTAAAGCTTTAGAATCAGTTTACAAAAATAGGAACATTTATCTTGATGGTCGTTTCTTCTAATTCTTGATAAAAGAGAAGGCAAAAAGTATATCACAATACTGAAGTTGAATTATTTATCTAAAAATCTTTGACAATATTCACAAAGACATTAAGAAATTTTTTTTATTTTTAAGTAATTTTATCTGAAGAACAGTAAAAACACTAAAAACATTTAAGCACTTTTTTCAAAGATAGAAAGATTTTTTTATGGGAACATAGGCAGAGCTGAAGTGATCATTTGAGAAAAGTTGAACTGGTAATTCCCTCTAAAATTAGTCTGCAGCAAATGTATTATTGATTTTATTTTCAGATATTATTTGACCTTTAAGTACCTTCAAGTTATTTGTTTTTAGTAGAGATTTTGTCATGCACTGTTTCTAAAATTTCACATACCATTTTTTAATTACCTTAAGGTCAATCCAAAGTGTCATCCAGGTGACATGGTCCCCAGAGCAGCAGGTAGTCTCACAGTGTGCGTGTGGCCACTTTAAGTTTTGCCGTTTTTAGGAGTGGACACTGCCTGGAATAGTGTCCTGGAATAGCATCAGGAGTATCTTCCTTCTGTGCTGGAGCTCCCGCTGCCATGAAAGGCAGTCTTCACGTAGGGGAGTGGAAAGAATGGAGGATCCAAAGAAAGCATTTATCCGATTGGCCATGAGTCCAATGATTAGGCTTTTGAAAGGTTTAGTGTCACTTTGACCATGTGCATAGGAGGATGTTGAACCAGAACATTGTTCCACAGAGCACTCTGAGCCATTTTTAAAAATTGGGAATCCAGCCCTGGCCAGTTTGGCTCAGCATTAGAGCGTTGGCCGGCAGACCAGAGAGTCCCAGGTTTGGTTTCCGCTAAGGGCATGTACCTCAGTTGCAGTTTGTCCCCAGCCCCGGGTGGGGTTGTGTGGGTGGCAACCAGTCATTGTGTCTCTCTCACATCGATGTATCTCTCTCTCTCTCCTTCCCTCTCTCCCTCCCGTTCTATCTGAAGATAAATGCAAAAATGTCCTAGGGTGAGGATAAAAAATAAATAAATAAAAATTGGGAATCCATCCTGCTGGTATGAGTGTGGCTCAGTTGGTTGGAGTGCTGTTCTTGCCCTGGCTGGTTTGGCTCAGCAGTAGAGCATCAGCCCTGGACCACTGAGTGCTGGGTTCCATTCCCGCCAAGGGCATGTATCTCGATTGTGGTTTGTCACCGGCCCTGATCAGGGTCGTGCAGGAGGCAACCAGTTAAGGTGTCCCTCTTGCGTCAATGTTTCTCTCTCCCTTTCTCTCCCTCTCTCTCTATCTGAAGATAAATTAAAAAATATCCTCGGGTGAGGATTAAAAAAAGGAGGGAGGGAATCCTTTTGCTAAATAAGTGAATATTGAGGGCAAGTTAAAAATTTACATTTTCTCACATCTTTATTTATGCCTAGATGATGGACCAGCCAGACTATGCAACAAATGAAGAAAACCCTGTGATTGCTGGTGAACAGATTGTCCAACAGTAATATTATGTGAACCTGCCATAATATGTCAATTGATTTTCTGCAAATAGAGTTTGACTTTTTAACTTGACTTTTGAATTGACAATCTGAAAGAATCTTCAATGATACGCTTGCAAGTATACATTTTTAAGATCTGGTACTGACAATTACATCATAAGTAATTAAAGACATTTGCATTTAACTATGTTCAAGTTGTGCCTTCACATTAAATAAAAGGATGTGGTCTGTATAACTTTTAAAATGTATTATATACAGTATATTTTTCTAAAAAAGGTCTTGATCCACCCCTGTATTTTTCTTACTGAAATCTATTTCTTTTCAACTTTAATGATAGATAAAAATATTTCTGCCCAAGTGAGTTTCTGAACAGACTTTACTGAAAATAATTATGTAAATTTTATGCTCTATAGAAATAATTATTTAAGACCCTGCAAGAAGGCAGTTCAACAGTGAAATTTGGAACTTTTATCATTGCAAAGGTTAGAAAACTATAATTTGGTATATATAAGTGCATATTTTTATAGCATAAGTTTAAAAAAAATTCCATTTCTTTTTTAAACTTGAGAACCTAAATTGCTTCAAATTGCTATGTATTATATTAGAATATTTTTCCAGGTATAGAGAAGCATAATATATAAAACTAGTTATTAAAAGGGTACAAAAACTGACATCCACAGTTTTCAGTGGTGTGTTGTTTCCTTGAAGATATAGCTTAAATTTCTACATTAACATTCAGTTTTATGATGGTATTTCTGATACCTGAAGCTTGGTTCTGTTGATGTTCAGGCTTGATATTTTGTATACAATTACATATTAATACATATGGCTCATCAATTGAGTGTAACACCCTAAAAATCCCTCCCCACCACTACCTTCATTCCTACCTCTTTCCCTGTTGGAAACCACTGTTAACCTTTTAATATTTTGGATGATGGTATACTAATATACCAGGTATGCTTCAGAGGCAAGAATTGGAGATAAAAGACAGGAGACTGAGTGTTAGTGTCAATTACATTACAAGAATGTGAGTAAATTGTCTTAGCACAAGACATTGATTGGTATCTCAGTTTTCTCATCTGGAAAATGAGTAGGTTACACCAGTGATTTTCAACCTTTTTCATCGCAGGCACACATAAACTAATTACTAAAATTCTGCAGCACACCAAAAAGAAAGTTTATTTTGCTGATCTGACAAGAAAATAGATTTAATATTGATTCATTCACACCAGACAGCTATTATGTTGGCTGTTGTCATTTTTTATTTGACAATCTAAAGGAAAAGAGATCAGTGTTTCCATGTTTTAAAAAGTATTGCAACACACTAGTTGAAAATTACTGGGTTAGACCAGTAAATCACTCTGGTACCTTCTAACTTGAAAAAAAAAATCTTTCTCATTCTTTGCTAAATCTCAGGTGTGACCTTGAACATTCTCTTTGGACTCAGAGGTCATATTATCTTTTAATTTTTCTTTTATTTTCTCTAAGAAATTTCCAAATGACCAGTAATTCCAAAGGCAGCAGAATATTGCATTCTCTATAAGTAACATAGAAGAAATGTGAACAACTCTGTGTTTTTTCATTCTGAGGCCGGTTCAGCTGCTTAAAAGAGAAAACTAATGCCTTTTAAAATAGATCAGAGCTTTGGTATTTGAACTACATTTAGCATTGGAGGGAATTGGATGCTTTTGTTTAATTGTTAACTTTTGCTGAGTAAATTGCAGATAGAGAAGCTCCTTTGACATCCTTCTCTCCACTTAATATACTTATGGATCCTTTGGTAAATGTCAAGTATCTAACAAGCAAGGGTTAATCTTCCTTTTGTCTCCATAATATCAAGTTTGAATTTTTTCCAAAGAATCTAATTTATTTGGCAGACTCTGATAGAACAGATGAAGTGCCATTTTAAAGCTCCAACTATATTTTTATTTTTAATATCAATAAAATGTTTGCCAAAATACAGCTTTTTTAGTAAAATTATCTGCATTCTCATCCCATCTTTCTGATATTCAAAAGCCTCAACCTCAGCTACATTTTATGAAGAATGTTAAAGAAAATTTAAATCTAGAAGTCTGAAATTGTAGTTCTTTGCTACACATTCTACTTTATCTAACCATTAGTTATCAAGGAGGTAAAACCTTATTCTAGTTTGCTATTAAAATCTCCTTGATTAAATAGAAATAAGAAAGAAACAGTGAAATTCCTTAAGTTTCTCCATCCTCAATGTCTACTTTACATTGTACTTAATTCTTCTACCAACCCAGGTGAAAATATTTAGAGAAATTATAGTAAAGTACAGAAACATTTTTTTAGGGGGACTCCAAGTAAGCAAAGGGTAGGGGAGATGAAAATGTGTCTTTAAAAGGCTGTATCATTTCTTCCTCTCTTCCCACTACCAGTAACTTTAAGGAGAAGTGAAGTTGTTTTTTTCCCTTAATATGTCTTTAAAACAATAAGATATACTGTATTATTACTTATTGAAAAAAAATTATTACTTATTAGAAATTCTTTATGAACATTTTTGTAGCTTATCAAACAAATCACTATCTCAAAGTTGTAACATAGATTTTTTTTTTTTTTACTTCAGAAAAGATATAATTATGAGGTTTGTGAGGAAAGACCTTGCTGTTCTAATACATTGTATTTTTTCCCAGCTTGTATTTTTTCTTTAGATTAACAATACCTTATTAGTAGAATCCACGACTTATTTCTCTTTAGAGCGAAGAAAAATTTAACCCATCTGCTGTTGGCATTCATAGCTTTTGGTGAAATGCCCATAGAGATTTCGGTGAAATGATACATTTATGGGAAATACAAATGAGCTTTCTAGTTTTCTTTTGCTTTTTCAATTTTTTCCTTATGTATAAGCAAACATTATTTTCACATTTGACTAAAAATATTTGAACTAATTTATTTAAGCTTGGTCTCTAAAAGTTTTGCTTCATTTCAACCAATGAGATTTCAAAAACAGGAATTTCATTTTAGACTGGTGCAATGTGCTAGTTTGAAAGTCTATATATTTTTCCATTAATAAGGAAAAGAGTTGAATTTATTCAAGATGATGCCAAATAACAAATTCTACAGTTTAAAATATTTTCAGTGATCTGTTTACCCCAGAGGATAATTCTAAACAAATTGGAGTGAGTAATGTAAATAAAATTAAAATACTGAATATAAATCACTTTCTGGTTCCTGAAAGAAAGATATTTTGTAAATTCAAGAGATCTGAATAAAATTACTCAACCTTTTGGAATTTGAAAGAAATTGTATAGTACTCACATTTGGAGTACTGAATTTTTCAGAATAAACAAAATAATTGACAGTAATATACAGGCCATATTATAGTGAAGAACATATATGTGAACTTTCTTGTTTAATGTTTCTGTACTTCAGGACAACATTTGTATCTGTGAAAATGATCATGGGGAAAAATGATTTATTAAATAAAATTTTAGAATAGTCCTGTATTAGTGGAAATTATGGGGCAATTAAAAACATGTAGAATACTTAATGTCATCATGTGTTTCTTTAATTAGGCATAAAATGTGTTGTAAACAACATTCCTTTGGAATATGGATTTTTAATAAGAATATCCAAAATTTATCTGGTTAGTTTGCAGGATTTCCCAGTAGAACAAGTCAGTATAAATGTGATAGTTTTTGCCTATTTTATACTTTATGTTGTATTTTGTTTAAATGAGAACCTTTTTAAAAATGCATATGATTGAATTTTTACTTCTTAGGTTATTGGTTTGAATGTGGAATTCTTTTTTTTAACACTTTGATATGTAAGTTAGTGTAAATTAATACTTTATAACACTATTAGGCTTTATTTTTTTAAGGAACATGATTTAAAATTTAAAAATGTTTGAGATGTTAATTTAGCAGTGCTTTAAAACTCTCCAGTAAGTGCCAATACTGACAAGAAAAACATTTTTTAATGTATTGAATTCACTATGGTATGCAATAAATTCTATTTTAAAATAAAATTTGAATTTGTTTATTTTGAATGGTGAAAAATAATAGAAAATGAACTAAAAGTATACTAGATCATGTTTATATAAGGTAAAAATGGTAATAATCACTTATAAAATTGTGTAGTTATTTAAGTCTGACAAATTACCCATAAAAGCTTGATTCTGTGTCATTTACTGGGAATTTATATTGATACATAATAGCCCTTAATAAATATTTGCTGAATTAATGTATAGACTTTTTTTTTTTTACAGAGAAATGATCATACCTCTTGTGATGAACATTCCAGGCATTTTTAGCTTTACTGAAGTTGTTCCCACCAATTACTAAGATCTTATTTCTATTGTACTTATTTTTAATTCAGATGTTTCTGTAGTGTGTTTGTCTTGACCTCATGTTGAGGAAGTCCTGTTCCCCCCATACCCTCCTTCAGAGGAAACTTGTTTCATCCCCCAGGCCCATATATCTAGAAAGATACATAAGAAACTGGAAAGAGTGGCTGTCTCTAGGGAGAGAGGAGGTACAGTGGCTAGGGCACAGGGGTAAGAGGGAAATGTTTTCACTGTATACTCTTGTACTTCTGACATTTTCTATAATATACTTCTATTAAGATTCAAAACTCAAATGATAAAATTTTATTGAATTCTTTTCCTGGTAAGAGGTATCCATACTAACAAATGGTTAAATAGTAAATTATTTGGGGTGGGGTGGGGAGTGCCAATGGGGTAAAAAGGTAAAATATCTGTAACAAAAAAATAAATAAAAATTCATAAAAAAATAAAAATAAAAATATTTTAAAAAAATATAGTAAATTATTTGTATCATTTTCTTTTCCAGTCTCCTGGAGTCATGTGGGTGGGGAAAGTGTGGAGAGTCTCAGCATTCTGTGTGCATTTCAAATACCACCTTCAATGTGTTACCGCCCATGCATGCCCTCAATTGTGACTGGTATCCTCCTGGCCAGCTACCCCCTATTTTACTGTCTCCAGAGAACAAACCTCCAGTTTTCTGCCGGAATCAGGAAGGGACATTTGCCCAGCTACATGAAGTACAGGAGATCTGTGGCTCTTCATGAAAGATGAAATTAGAAAATAACCATTTTATAATCCCAAATGGAAGAATTAATTTAGGCAATGATCATCAGCCTATAAAACCATTAGATGAAAGGAGGTCTTAAGCTGTTAGCCTCCCTGAAATCATTGATAAATCT